ATATCATAACCATTGTCACTTAATTGACTTATGGACAATAAGTTATGCTTTAACCCTTCAACAAGTAAAACATTAGTAATAGAGGGAAGTTTACCATTTCCAATAGTGCCAGATCCAATGATCTTGCCCTTCTGGTTCCCTCCAAACTTCACATCACCTCCAGATCTAAGTTCCAGGCTTTGGAACATAGACTTTTCTCCTGTCATGTGTCGTGAGCATCCAGAGTCCAGGTACCATGATTGGTGTCCTGACCTTGCTGCTAAGAACATCTGCAACAGGAATTATTTTGTTTTTAGGTACCCAGATCTTCTTGGGTCCTTTGGGGTTAGTTGGTTTGTAGGTTTGTCTAAACTTCTGTTTTTCAACATAATATTTATTCTGACTTGCCTTGGGTTTAAACACATAAGTATTCTTCTCAGAGCTTGTGTGTTTAATGTCATTTAAGTGACCAAATTTAAAATGAGAATACAGAGGTGTCTTCTTGATGAAAAGTTTGTCAATAGGTTTTGGATTTCTTCCAGATGAAGATTCATATCCAATACCTCTTTTGTTGTTTCCACTAACACCATAGATCATGTAAGCCATCTTGCTTTTGTCTATGCTCTTAGTAAGAAATCTCTGAAAGCTAGAGTCATATTTTTCTAAAATGCTTTCACATGACTTAGTCTCAGATTCAGATTCTTATTGAGTTATTTCAAAGTCATTTTTTATTTTCAGATTAATTTCTTTTTGCTCAATAAGTTCTGTTTTCAGAAGATCAATCTCAGATTTAAGATTGCTTTTCAGCTTCTTGTATTTGAGTTTGATATTGTTATAACTTTTAAGAACTTCTGTTAAAACTTTTATAAGTTCTTCTTTGGTAAGTTTAGCCATTACCTCTTCTGCGTTATCATCTGATTCATATCCTGAGGTACCTTCCTCTTGATCCTCTGTGCTGGCCATCAGTGCAACATTAGCACATTCTTCTTCTGATTCAGAAGATGATTCAGATTCATCTGAGTCATCCCATGTTGCCATCAGAACCTTCTTCTTTTTGTTAAACTTCTTCTTGGGTTTTTCTTTCTGAAGTTTGGGGCAATCATTCTTGTAGTGCCCAGGTTCTTTGCACTCATAGCACACAACTTCTTTCTTGCCAGATCTTCTGTGCCCAGAAGATTCCTTTCTATTATCAAATCTTCTGAAGTTGTTGAACTTCTTTCCCTTGTGCTTCCAGAGTCTGTTGATCCTTCTGGACAGCATGGATAACTCATCCTCTTCTTCAGAAGAAGATTCTTCAGAGCTTTCTTGAATGACCTGCAAAGCTTTAGCAGTTTTGTTAGATTTTAATGCAACAGATTTACCTTTTTCTTTCTTCTGAGGTTCATCTTCCTCAAGCTCAATCTCATGGCTCCTCAGTGAGCTGATGAGTTCTTCTAGAGAGATCTTGTTCAGATCTTTAGCCATTTTCAAGGCAGTCACCATTGGTCTCCATCTGGTAGGCAGACTTCTGATGATTTTCTTTACATGATCTGATGTAGAGTATCCCTTGTCCAGAACTTTCAGGCCAGCTGTGAGTATCTGAAATCTGGAGAACATGGCTTCAACAGATTCAGAGTCTTCCATTTTGAAGGCCTCATACTTCTGGATCAGAGCCAGAGCTTTTGTCTCCTTAACTTGAGAATTTCCCTCATGAGTCATTTTTAGGGATTCAAACATATCAAAAGCAGTTTCCCTGTTTGTAATTTTTTCATACTCAGTATGTGAAATTGCATTCAATAATATAGTCCTGGCTTTGTGATGATTTCTAAAATCTTTCTTCTGAGCATCTGTCATAGATTTTTTGTCAATCTTCTTGCCATTCCCATCTGTGGGATGGACATATCCATCTATGACTAGATCCCATAGATCAGTATCATATCCTAGGAAAAAACTCTCAATTCTGTCTTTCCAGTAGTCAAATTTCTCCCCATCAAACATAGGGGGTTTGGTGCTGATCATGTCCCTTTCTTCATATTTATTGTTAATATTGGATATTGAATTATCAGCCATTGTAACAAATAAATATATATCAAAGTATTTCTCTCTGGATCTTTACTGACACTGTTAAGTGGTAGCACACACAGAACCGGAGCTCTGATGCCAACTGAAGGTGAGAAAATACTTAGAAGGGGGGTTGAATAAGTATGAAAGATTAAGACTAAAAAATAATAACTCAATTATTTTTATCCTGGTTCGTTGAAAACAACTACTCCAGTCCACCCTTCCTAGAGTGATTTTCCTTTCTCAACAAGGACTTAATCCACTATTTAATCAAACAGATTACAATAGTAACACCTAAGAACAACTGTTCTTAGTCTTCTCAAGAGCTACTGATTCCAACTGAATCCTCTTAAGGAAAACCTTTACAATCAATGTAAATCAAATACAAGAGTATTAATGCTTCTATAAAGCTTTTATCACAACAGTGGTTTTTCTCTTAAGTTTAAGTACAAGAAATTCTAAGAAGAATATGAAAGAATGAGAGCTTTGAATAAAATGATTTCTTTTCAGCAAAATTGTGTCACTGAAGAATTTGGTGGAGTCTTCCTTTTATAGGCAGCTGATCCAAGGATGCTGAGCGTTGAGAAGAGTGTTCCAAAAAGGTCTGAGCCTTTTTGTCTTCACATCAAGTGACCTTTCCTAGAAGTAGAAAGCACAGAACAATCCTTTTTGTCTGTGTTCTTGTGTCTAGCACAAATGAGGAAAGAGACGTTTGATTTACTCCAACGAATATATTCTTGAATATTTCTTCTTCAGTTTTCAGCAAGTTCTTCAGAATCTGAATGAGTCAGAGTCTTCTAATGATGTTCAGAACCTTGCTGTATCAGAGTCTTCTGCAGCATGTGTGCTTTCAGTGTGTAGATTATCAGAGCATATTTGTCACAGAACTTCAGTACTTGGCAGCGTTAGTACTTTCAGAAACTTCTGTAGAAACTATGCTTTGAGAAACTCTTCATACAAAATCCTTCTTAGCTTCAGATGCTTCTGACTAGCTTCAGAATCTTCTGGAGCTTTTTGCTTCAGATCCTTCTGGAGACTCTGCTCAGGATCTTCTGTAAACAGCAATCAGAATCTTCTAATGAGTGCATATGGCGCTTCAGAGTCTAGATAACTTCTTGTATACAATTCAGATTTGCTTCTTAGAGAGTTAATTTCATTTCAATCTGCAGTAAAACTTACAAGCAAATTTTAGAGTATATAATGCTTAAATATAAATTTTTTTAACAGTTATCATCAAAACAAAGAGTTATTATTAAGAACCAATCTGTGTTCTAACAGGGGTAGCACCAATATTTTTAAGTCAATATAGATATTTGTGGAATGTGGCTAAAAAAATTCAAAAAATAAAGTTTTCATCTAATTCAATTATGCCCCAAATGTAAGGCTTCTCTAGGAGTTGTTTTGATATTTTTTAATCTTCATTAAACATGAAGAGTTTGGACGAAGGTGCGATGCTTTCATATTGGAACATGTGTCATTTAAGGGTTTTCAAATTAATTTTTAGAATGAGATGATTTTTAGAGATAGAAACTAGAGAGATAAAGTGAAAAATTCGTTAGATTCATTAGTCAAAGAATTTGATCATATTTGAAGATTATCTAAGAATTTTGAGCAACTTCTAAACCTCTTAAAATTGTGTGTAATTCGTATATTGAGATAAGTTAAGATTGGACCACAAATGGAAAAACTAGTAACTTTTTTTTGTAAATTTGTCAAATTAATTTTTTATTATTTACTTTTAATCTCTTATTAAAATTCTTGATTAGTAGTGTATCAGAGAGTTTCTCTTTCCGCCACCAAAATAGAACATTTTAAATTTCTATATATTTTTGTTTTTTATCTTATTCTTGCTATTGTAATTTTGTTTGGATTATTTAGATTTAAATTTTCATTGTTATTTTCTTACTCGTCAAATTCTTAGTGGGTTTAATCTCCATCGAATTCACAACACTGAGCAAAACATCCATGCATGTGTACTTGGTAACTACATTAGGACATAAAACATTAACATAAATAGAAGTATGTTTTCAACAAAATTTCAATATGTAGGGTAAATTGAAAAATAAAGTTACATCAACATTTTGTATCTCCGTTATACAGAGTATATAGGTATAAATAAATATTTAAATTGAAATTGGAAAAAAAATCGTATCGTAAGACAAATATGTGAAGAAAAATAATCTTTAGGCTCTACTTAAAAGTTTGTAGATGAAGGAAGAAGAATATAGATTTTGGTTGGGAAAATGAGGGAATTAGAAAAATCTTATTCCTTATTTAAGAGTCCTTTTGTAGGGAATGTTTATGAGTAATTTATTTTAAATTTTAAAACATAAAGAATTTGAAGAATTTACTTTAAATAATTTAAAATCTTCTTTCAATATCTCATAATTCTTTTCTCATGTTTTACAAAAACATTCACTCAAAGAAATGAAAATTTTCCCTAATTTTTGAAAATTTTCCCTAATTTTTGAAAATTTTCTCTAATGTACATAAAGTAGTGCTTGCAATATTCACTCTTTCCAAACACAATTTTTTTTATCCAAGTGATGTGGACCATTTTATGTAAATTAGTTTCAAAAGGATGAAACCACAAACACTTGACATCAATTTAGATTAGAATAAGTTACTTAAATTAATAGATATTTGTGCAGAATACAACTTGCATTAAAGTTAGGGTATGGTAATGACTAAAGTTACTGAATTGTAGGATTCTTCTCGGTTCTAAATGATAAATAATTCAAAATCTAATATATTACAGAGAACCAAAAAAAAAATTGCAATCACATTCTCAATCTGAACATAACTGGTGAGATAACATTATGGCATTGATTTCCAAATAAATAACCAATGGTGAGTAACTATGTTTCAACCTCTTCTCTCCTGTGTTACTTTGGTAGACACAGCATATTCAATCATTTCACCTCAAAAAGCCACGCCTGAGTCTGAATTCTTAAGGAATATCATAATGTGCGGCCGTTATTCTAGCTACCAATGAAACCTAACCGGTGAAGAATGAAAGCCAAAATGAGCATGCATATTGCAAAGACAAAGCCTGATTTCCCAAGAAACCAGTTCTTTGTCTTTTTTGCACATTCAGCTCCTCTTTGAAGCCTGTCCGCCCAAAGCATCTGCAAAGACATTGAAAAGGTTTGTCTTAGTACTAGTATGACCAAAAAAATTACAAACTATACTATTTCAAGGAATAGAACACATGTTTTGTTATGAACCAAAAAAGTTGAATTGAAAGAATGAGAAAGAAGAGAAGAGAGAGAGTTCCCTTCTCTAACAATCCCCCCTGCAACAGCAGATTCACGGCTTACTCACTAAATGTTCACATATGTTAATTAGTTCCTCTCTCTACCCATGTAGAAGATATCTCTCTATAATTAATCTTAACTACTCTAATTCTTTTTTATTATGTATCCTAATACTATGGGAGGCGCCCCATGGTGCTACCAGGCAAGTGTTGTCAAGTTTTTGCTGTGACGCTATAGCATGGCAGATTTTGTGCCAAGCACCATAGGCTGCAACACCAGTTATGTCCGACATGGTTATGCCATAAGCCGCAACACCATCTTTATAAGGCAGATTTTTCGCTGCCTGCCATTATCCGCGCTATCCACAATTGATAACACTGAGATTGCCAGTTTGAATCCTGACATAAAGATGTGTTTTTTACTCTGCAAAGGGCGTATGAAGCTCTGACACACCATTCACACGGCACGTCGCCGTGTCGGACGCGTGTCGTGTCTGACACGGATACTTGTACGACACGAATCTGACACATTTTTGAAGTGTCCAACGAAAAAATATATATGAACCGCAGCGGACACAGATACGACACCTTACTTCAAATAAAGGACACGGTCCAACTCAAAAAATTTCAGAATTTTAAAAAAAAAAACTCAACTTTTCAAAATTAAAAAAAAAAAAAAATTGCTCTTAAACTAATTGCACAATCTTGTTCATCATCATGTTGTGAAAGAATTTGGAGCACATATATTCATGTATCCATTCTTTGAAGAAAAACAAGATGATACCACATCGAACGAAAGCTTTAGTATATGTGCATATATATTCATGTATCCATTCTTTGAAGAGAAACAAGATGACACCACATCGAATGAAAGCTTTAGTATATGTGCATAGTAACCTTTGACTTCTATCAAGGAGCACTCCCCAACATCATCAAGAGAAAACTAAAATGTGGGATGTCGTTGGAGATAAGTTGGGATCATTAGATGACAGTGAATTTCTTGAAGTTGCTGACTTGTCTTTGAATGAGACAAGTTTAGAGGCTGATTTTCTCAACGTACTGAGACAAGTTTATTTTGGTGAATTTATGTCTTTTTTTCTCGTTGATTGAAAATACTAAGTTTAAATTAAAAATTTGTGTAAAAGAAGTGTAAATAAGCATAAATTTTGCTTCTCATTTTAAATTCTTATAAATTGTACTCATAAATTGCATTATTATATAAATCTATAAAACATATATAGTTGTGTCCGTGTCCTATGTTTTTTACATTGGCGGGGTCCTCGTGTCCGTGTCCGTGTCCGAATCCGGGCTTCATAGACACAGGCTCATACCCGTAAGTAATATGTTAGACTTTTCATTAATTAACAGTTATATTTTTAAGTGATTAGTTGGAAATTATAATAGTATTAAGCGCAGTAATGTTTTATTAATGTTGTGTGTTTCATGTTTAGAATAAATAGTGGAAGATAGGGGGGAGTCTTTTATCGTGGAATTTGACAAGAAAAGGGTCGTTTTGGCATTAGAGTTGCAGACCCCGAAGTTCTGCAGTACTCTTCTGTAATTCAAAGGATTTTCCCTATTTATTTATTTTATATCAATTGGTTTCTATCAACTGGGATCAGAGCACTACTGTTCTGGGATAGAAACAGGAAAAAAATTGGAGTTGTCATCAAGTATAAAGTATGAAAGGAATGTTAAGTATTTTTGATGAAGTGTTGAAAGAACTTAGACATTGGATAAGAGAATTCAAAGAGTTACGGCTTGTAATACCAATCTTTGAAGGAAATGATGTTTTTATGGGAGGATGACTAGGATTGAGAAATATTTTGATGCATGAGGTGTATGTAAAGAAGATCAAATACCAAAAGTTTTGTAGTGGATGAATGGTGGAGCTGTCGCATGGTACCGGCTGGGAATTTCAGTCAATCCAATTGCCACTTGGGGAAGTTTTGCGAAGGCAATTCTCAAGAAATTTGGGCCAGAAACTGATTCAGTAAAGAATCAAGAACCAAATGAGAGACCACCACCAGAATGGTTAGACCAACAGTCACCATTGTCGAAATCACCAGTAATCGGGTCTTACCCGGTGTTTGCTCCTATTTCTAAGATAAAGTCTAGAAACGAGAAAGTTTCATTACCGGTGCCGTCGCCCCAACAATCGTTCATGAGAAGACCGACAGCAGCGATCAAATTTGATCCGGAAGGAATTCTTTCTATCTCATGTACAACTCACTCAATCTTCCAGCTTCAGGTTATGGGATCCGGGAGGATACATTTTCTCTAAGAATTTCTTTCACCATAAGGACAAGGGGAAACTTTAGGGGGAGTATTGTTAGACTTTTCATTAATTAACATTTATATTTTTTAGTAGAAATTATTATATAATTATAATAGTTGGTTTTTATTGATGAGTACCAATTTAGAAAATATATTTGAGTTTGGAAAAGAAGGTACCATTTTCTCCAATTTCTCTGCCGATATGGATGACATGGCTTGCTGAGCTTTTTCAGCGTCTTCTGGTGAGAGATCGAAACCAAATTGTTTTCCCATGTTTGCCATCATTTCTGGGCTCATATTTTTAATCATTGATGTGAACATCTGCAAAAAAGCATAAACTAAGAAAATTAAAAGAAGGAAGCAGTCGTGATAATTACTGAACATCATAAATGTGTCCAAGGTATAAAATCTGTATAGTACTTTCCAAAAAGAAAACACAAGTGCACAAGATTGACCAGGATTTAAAAACCACACAAGTACATAATTAAAGGGTATACTTAATCAGAAGAAATTACTAATTACTACATCAGGTCATATATTTAAGTTGCAAAAAATGGTGCCCGACCCTTTAATAAGTTAGTTAGCTGCTGCATATAAATGGCGAAAAAATAATCACATTTCCTATTTTAACCAAATATGTCTCCAATGAAATATATTGCAAAAACAATGAACACAAAAGTTTGTTCGCCTTCTCATGCTAAACAATACCGTAACTTTTAGCACACCTCACAGTTTTGGAATATAACCAAGTAGAAAGGTGAACCTAAATTTATTTCAATGGAATTTTGGAACAAGCCTTAAATAGAGTGACAATAGTTGAATTTTGCTTATATTTAAGACCACCAAATTTAAATATTTTATTACTTGTATAGTAGAGCAGAGGGACTACTAATAGTAACATATGAGAGGTTAAAGATGAAATTTGGTTGGCATTTATTCTAGCCAGGTGTGTGGAAGAAGGATGCTGATCGTTTAATCCTTTATGAACATACCTGCCGCATAGCTGGATCTTTCATCTGGTTTCTCATCTGTTCTTGTAAATCAGTACTTGAGGATGGGAAGTTTGGCTCTGAAGCATTTATAATATTTGAAAACGCATTGTCAGAAGAACTTGATTCTCCAAAAGCACGAGTGGTGCTTGAGGATGGGAAGTTTGACTGTGAAAAATTTCTTTCCTTCTTGTCTACAGCTGCTGATGGAATAGATTCTTTCCCCTTCATTAAGGATGCCATTTCAAACATCTTCTTAAGGTCATCTGGTGGCATTTTACTTATCATATCACTTGCTGTTTTAAACATATCAGGTGTCACATTGGGAGGAATTGATCCAGAGTTGAAAGGAGAATCAGAGGAACCTCCTCTGAGAAAGGGGTTGTTCCCTTGAAATGAAGATGCCATGTCGAGCATTTTTTGAAGTTCCTCAGGTGACATCTTGCCTATCATATCCGAAGACGCTTTAATCATATCTGGAGACACGTCTTGGGATTGTCCCATGTTCAAAGAAGCCAGAGTGGCAGGATCAGCTTTGGAAATAAAATTTTGGAATGATCTGTAGTAGAATAAAAAACAAGTTAATGGGTCTATTTTTTTATCTATTTTTTATACCAATGATTGAATTAAAAACAAAGAAACATAATACTCTTAATACATTTACACAAAATCCAACTACCTGATGGCTTCTGGATCTTTCTTCAGTGTATCTATATTGTCTGAATTTGATTTTAGATTTCCATTGTTGGCTATATTGTAACTCTTAGAAGAGTCGCCAGACTTCTTTGGTTGATCAAATGTTTGTTCAGAAGAAGAGCTTCTATTGATTCCAGAAGGCACATTCTCAATTTCTTCAGTTATTTCTTCAATTACTAATCCTACAGCCATGATGCCAAAAAAAAGTTAAATTCGACATCGATAAGAAATTTAGAGCCATAAAGCTTAGTAGGGCTGGGACCATGTGGAAGGGGGTAAAAGGAAAAGGGATGGGAGCACATACTTCCAGGAGCACAATCACCACCTTCCTTTATCAACTGTTCCTTGGTGTCCCTGAAATGACAGTTGATAACATTAAACAGAAATCCAAAGAAGAATAGAAGAAGAACAGAAGCTTACTTCCAACATATCAACTCCTTTATTAGACGTCACTCAATATTCTATCAGAAAAAACAAAAATTGTTATCACATTACAGATATACTTAATTCAGCGTCCAATCCATTTTGACATTAAATAGTAGAAGAATTTGATGAAAAGTTGCCCATAATTAGATAATTATAAATCACAAGATTCACAGCAGTTATAAATAAAATTTTATCATACATGTAATACGTAGATAATTGAATAATTTTATTCCTACGAGAGGAGTCAGTAAGTATGTGGAAGGGAGTAAGATCGCACCATAAAAGCTCTCCAATTATATCATCATCAGGAGACACTTCAAGTGCATTGCTCAAATCAGTGACAGCATCCTAAACAAACCAGGAAAGCCATTAAATATCGATATAAATGAACATACACCGACAACTCTAATACAAGAAGTTAATTGAGTCACTTGAAGGTCACCTGTAGCAGGCCTTGTTCCTTATATGCCTGACCTCTTCGATAAAGAGCCTTAAGGTTCTTTGCGTCATACGCCAAAACCTACCATAGTTAAAAGTACATTAACGCATTGCAGCCAATTTTCAAAACAGAAAGTAAATTCATAGCAATCATGTTATTGCATTTTACAATTACAATGTAAATTTCTTTAATATCCCCTAGGCTGATAAATTTCCCCATAGTAGAAACGCTACTAACATGTTGCACATGGCTTTTAAAATTTACAACTAACATCCCACTGCAATGGTAAATGAAAGGAACTGTGAATACCTCAGAACCTTCTTTTATGCATTCATCATACTGCCTTGTCTTCAAGTAGCAGGCCATCAAGTTAAGTGAGCACGCCAAAAGAAGTTTTCTACTTTGAAAAGATGGAATCTCTCTGATGTTCTCCTTGGCCTACAATGTAAAAATTAAAACAATGATAAACTTATAATGATAATTTCCTTTAGTCTCAAAGTAGAGATAAACAACAATAAAAGGTGTGGAGGAGACAGTTAAGCAATCTGAAAAGTCGACCTACCAGCTTATACTTCTGCAAAGCATCATCGAACTTTCCTTGATTGTGAAGTTCATTTCCCTGCAAAAATTAATTTCAGTTCATCAAGACAAACACTAGACTAGACATCAACTGGTTTAACAGTAAATGAAAACTGTAATCAGTTATCAGAGTAGTACAAGGAGTAGCATTTCATATCTTTATGCAATGACACCAAGTATATATTCGAATCAGACCCTCCGTTCTATGGAAGTATTATTGAAATCAATTCTATTTATGAATCCTTAAAGACTAAGGAGCTGAGGAAACAAATTACCCTGAAGACATCATAAATTGGTTTTTCAGTGAAAAATGTGGGTTTTAAAAAATAAGAACCAACATAAGCACATACTACGCTTCCTTCACAAAAAAATAGTAATGTGATTGATTCTCAATGACAATTTGAAAAAACAAATGGGCGTACTACAAGAATAGTGGTACTCGATGCTGTCAAACTCAACGTTGTCAAACAAACTCAATAGGTAGAGTAATTTTTTTTTCCTAGTTAAAACTCAATTTTGTATACCTAGGTGGAACTTACTCCAAACTTCTTTTATCTTTTGGGTTCATCTCATGTCACGCATATCAATATAAAAAATAAAAAAAAAGTCTCCATTGCATCTAAGGATTCGTGTTTTACATAGACACCTGATATACTACTACCACTCACCTGCTTCTTCAACATCTCTGCCGCACTCAATTGATATTTGATCTGAGCATCAGCATGAGCACGCATAGCCGCTACTTCATCCGGCGACGCATTAGCCATCTTCTGACCAATCTCAGCCATTTCTTCCGGCCGAGTATGCTTCAACTGTTCAGCAGCAAGTTTAAAATCTTCAGGATTCATATTCTTCATACTTTCCGAAGCCATCCTCATCAAATCTGGATTTGACATCATCTACATTTCCTCAACAACAAAAACAACCATTAACTCTCCACATTACATCAATATAAACATATATATGAATAATCCTAAACACTATAATTCGGCTTCAAAAAACAATGTATAATAATATCTTACACATTCAAATTCAAATCTCCAAATCATATATATATATATATATATATATATATATATATATATATATATATATATATATATATATATATATATATATATATATATATATATATATATATATATATATATATATATATATATATATATATATATATATATATATATATATATATATATATATATATATATATATATATATATATATATATATATAATTCACAATGAAAGTGCGTTCCTATTAACATAATTCAACAAATCAACATGCAGAATCACAACAAAGAAAACAAAATTGAAATGCGTTCCTATTAACATAATTCAACAAATCAACATGCAGAATCACAACAAAGAAAACAAAATTGAAAACCTGTTGTTGGATCCGAGCCATATCAGCGGGAGACATGCGACTCATCTGTTCCTGAGCGATTCTGATCAAATCAGGATCCATCATACCGTTAAACATTTTCGATTATTCTCAACAGAATTGAAACCAATCAATCAATCACGGTAGATCGAAATCGAAAACTGCGATTGGAAACGATGAGAGAGAAATTGAGGTGTTTGTGATTGAATTGAGAAAGTTGGAAAGGTAACAGAAGATTTTGAAGTTAGTTATTGCATATGAGAAAGTAGAGGTGAAGAAAGCGTTGGATTGAGAAAAGGGGAAGGTAGAGAGAGAATATATAAATGTGATTATTATTGTTATCATGAAAAGGAAAAAAAAAAGGGGAAGAGACAGATTTGTAGGTGCCGCCTACCAAACAGGAAGAGAAGTAGGAGTAGAATCCAAAACCAAATTATAAGAGTAGGATATGCGTTGAATGTCTCTTTCGAAATTACTCTCTCGCCCTCGGCATCTATTATATATTTAGGTTAATTTTTAATCAATTATCAACTATCACGCCTTTAAAAGTTGATTGCATGCCTTGATCATAGTGTCATTTTAACTATTTTATTTTACACTATAATTTGGACATTTTGGTAAATAAAAAAACATTACAATAAATTTAAACAAAGTCTCTCCCTTCTTGCCAAATATCCATCAACAATCGGCTTCCTCAAAAAAAAATTCTTCATTCCAACATAAACCATATCACATGCTAAACATATTCTTCCTTTCTCACTCTATTATGTCTCATTCTCTCTCATTTGTTGCAGCTTCTTCAATGTTTTTCCATCTTCCACTTCAACATTGCGCAAGTAGCTCCGGTAGTAGACACGGGAGCCGCGAAATCACCAAGAAATCAGAACATTTTTCTGACAGCAGATGTATGTTTCTTTATGTTCATTAATATACTTTTATTTTCGTTTTCTCTCATCTCTCTTTCCCCTCAAAGCCCTAGATCTTTGTCGCCCCCATTTCTCCTTCGTCTCCGATTCTCCATTTGCTACTTTCAAAATAGATGTTTGTTTTTGTTGGAATTGTAGTCTATTGATTGATTCTTATAATATAATTCTATATAACATAGTGGACATGGTCTTGCTAACGACGGGCACGAGCCATTTAATCCAAATGTGAGTTTTGTTTCAAATGTACTATGTTGCATACTATTATGGAGATAAGGTAAGTTGTTATGACTTAGAGATTAGTCTGTTGAGTTTTTTAATGTTCTTTTTGTTAATATTTTGTATGACGGGTGAATCAACTGTTTTGGGTTCCAGATCTTTGTTTGTATGTTCTCCATTTTTCTGCATTTCTCTCCTAAAACGTGTTTTCATATATTTGTTTCATCACTTTATGTAGATCTGAGTTCAAAACCCCCTTTCTCTATGTAACTTTTCCAGTAAATCTTTGTCTAAGATGTATTTTAAAATACATGTTTAAATTTATCATTTATGTGTTTAAGATGTATTTCTGATATCAATGTTGGTTTCTTGCTATCTATTTTGATGTGTTATTATGTTTCTATTAATTAAAACAGGGTGAAGAATTAGCTGCAACTATGACAGCTACCAAGGGACAACCTGCTCAAACCAAAATGAAGAGAATTATTCAGTTATTATGTGGTCGAGGTTAATCTGGTTCTTTATGATCAGGTGATTTAGAATTTTTCATTGGATTCCTAGGACTTGGTTAATTTTAAAAACAATGTATGATAAATTGGCAAGTTTTGTGCTAGGAATCATGCTTCTGTGTTGTCTTATTTTAGGTTGAGGTTTGATGTTTTGAGTCATTGATAGTGTAAAACATGCAACAGCGGTAGTAGCTGATGATAAATTATACATTTTGTCCATTTTCTCGGTTTGTCTCATAGTGAACTCAATGTTGCAACTTCATTTAGTTGGCACAGTCGAAGAAAGGTCATTGCTGAACAGAGGACTATTAGCTCAAGATTATTCATGATTTACGGTATTTGGATAATATGTGTATACATTAAGTGGTAAGTGTCGCTTTCGCGAAAATAAGGTGTCGGCACAACAGAAGAGTCGCCATCTTTCGTTATTTATCCCTCAGAGCGGGAAAGGAAACGATCGGAAAAACCTAACGAAAAGGGTAAGACAAGGTCATCGCAACCGTTGTCTGGATTCGGGAGTTGGTTACGCAAGGGGAAGGTATTAGCACCCCTCACGTCCGTCGTACTCGACGGGATCCACGCTTGCTTGGTTTACTTGGACGGGTTGGTTTTATTCTATCTACCTATCAAGGCGGGCTAAAAAAGAAAATAAAAATGACTCGGCAAAGCGTCGCACTTTATGCCTACGTATTCTCATGAGAGAATGAGAAATCAGAGTCAACGTAGTTCGGCCTACGAAGGGTTATGGGGGAAGGTAGCTCGCCAAGACATCGTCATCTTGTGCCTACGTACTCTCAATAGGCATGAGAGATCAGAGCTCACGTAGTTCGAGAAACTACGGTTTATTTCCTGTCTTTTACGAAAGAAGTGTTTTTTATTGTGTTTGCGATTTCAACCGCACTAGAGACTATGACCTGAGAGTGAATGCGTCGCATGTCACCCAAAGGGTACCATACTAAACATCCAGACTGTGGAAAAGAAACTCTCCCACAATCCTTTCTCAAATAGCTTAAGGCTCGTAACGTACGAAAGAAATCATTCATGATTACTGTATCTTAAACTGTTTTGAGATGAGAAGAGAACAGGCCCAACTAGGAGGGAGACTATCAAGTCCTACTGTTATCATGCCATGGATTCATCCTATGGTTGAGGTTTGAACAGGGAATTCCTAGAAGCTGTCATGCATAGGTTTCAACCTAAAATTCTATCATCAAATCCTTATCAAAGGAAATGAGAGTCCTAAGGGATCATGTAAATGATACACCAAAACAGACAAAGCATCAGCTTAACAGTAAAATGCATGCAATGCAAGTGAGGGAGGAAATGTGTGTGGGGCTTCAGCCTCCACAAGCTCATCTCGACCTCAAGCCAGAATGGATAATAGTAATCATATTGAAACATAAACAACATGCTATCAAGCAATAAACAGTAAACTGCAATCATACAGATAAAATGAAATGAAATGCCATCAGGCAAACAGACCACGTGGGCAAGGGAGTTGGGCTCTACCGAATACCCGCAAGCAAAGCCCCACAGTAATAATACAAGCAGAGGGAGCAACTCAACCTCTAGTGCAATCATGCTCCTAGATTCTACCTATTCTAGATATAAACTTATTCTAATGCATCAAGCAAGTCAAACAAAACACAGCAATACAGGAAAGAAAAAGAAGAAAACAGACTCCTCTCTCAACTCCAAGCTGCAGCTTCTCCAACAGCAACTCAGTCTTCAGACTTCAATCACTCTTGACAAATATCAATTGCTTTTCCAGGTTTCAACCCTACAACATGAGTTTCAACTCATTTTCTCCCTTAAGCTTCAGCATCTTTGATCAGCTTCACCTTCAGGCTTCACCTAATCTTCAGGGATCTTCAAGTATCAACTTGCTCTTGCTGCTCTTCAAGCTTCAGCTGGAATGGCAATACTCAAGGATTCATCCTCTTAAATACTCTTCAATGAAGTCTTCATCTTCATGCTCAGGCTCACCATCTCTCAAGACAATCAAACCTAGAGAAAACCACTTACTGGATAAGCTGGGGGATATTGAACCACTTATTAGACCACCAAAGGTGACCTATAAGGGTTCAACATCAAAGGAATGGTTCCCTCAAAGTTCTACTTCCTAGGTACCTCACTTATCCCTCCAAAGGAGAGAGGTGTATACCATGGAAGGACTTTGAATCATAGGGAGGAGTGGAGGTGACAGATACCATCCATGTTTGAGAAAGAAGTTATCTACATCTAAACTCTTCCTAATCCCTAACCCTAAAACAACAAAAAAAGAAAATAAGATCAAGCTCTCAAGCTCCTCAATGCATCTTTAAATCCTCTACTATGCTCCTCAATGCTCCACAATGAGATACCAAGCTTTCCAAGCCCACAAAGCAAAGCAAACAAACAAACATGCCCTAAAGGCAGCACAAACAATCAACCAATACAAAAATCAACTAAAAATAGCATACTATTATATTAAATCCTAATATAATTTCTAAGGGATCCTACATACCTACCCTTAATACCCATATATGCCCCATAGTCTAATTTGTCCTAAAAACCCAAAATCTAAAGTTATTATGGACCTATGTTGAAGTTTTAACCTAATTCTACACAACCTAATAGCATCTAATCAAAGCTATCCTAAAAATCATCACAAAAATATGGGATTAATCCAGGGGGAACCTAAAACATATATCTAACTACCCTAAAAAGATTGACCTAAAAATATTAAGGGAGCTACCTAAACTAAATTCTACAAAATCATGTATCAACTTAAAAGCATTAAAAAGCAATTAAAATGAAGAATATGCAAAAAATACTAAAATGAAATAAAATGGCAATTTTATGATTTTATATTTTTCTTGACAAAAAATGGAAAGTGGAGAAAAAAATCCCATTAAAAAAATATTGATTTTTCTATTTAATATGAATTTTACAAGATTTGAAATAAAATGGACAAGAAATAAAATGAATTATATGAACATGGGTGCAGATAGAAACAATATGCAGTGCAAATCAAACTTGGGACCAGAATGGGGGGTGGCAATAACAAAGCGCCTGGGCCCATTATCTAATTCAGAAAACAATTAAAAAATCTAAAGAAAAATAAAAAAGATGCGGTGCGAAAAGAAACAAATTGCAGTTCATTTTTGGAATGGGCCTGAAAAGGGGGTGGGAATAGCCATGATCCACTAAGCCCAGAACTCATCTTTAAATGAAACACGGCGTTTCATTCTTGTTTCTGATTCCCTCCACAATTCAATTAAATCTCGGCCATTGGATCGTTTCTCAAGTCAAATGGTCAAGCGCGTATCCAACGGCTGTGGGTTATCTTCAACCTTGCGCAGCTAGGGTTTCTGCAACTTCCATGGAACTCAGCTTCCTTGAACCAAACTTACATCAACTCGTATTACCTCATTTCTTCATCAATTTCCAAAATGTAAAACACAAT